GTGATGAGGCTCATACGGGAAATTACCCTCTGCCTCTAATTGAAGAACATTGAACATTTTCGTAGACTTGTTTCCTGGGGTGAGTATCGCTGATAAGTTCGCGGTGCAATCGTTTGCAATAAGTGTTGGCAATCCTTCGCGCCCGATCCGATGACATCGCGCGGTTGAATTTAATGCTCTCGGGGAACGTATTATTACGTAAAAATTAATGAAGCAATATATGTATATATGGGCTCATTCCAGACGGCGTGTCTATCAAATTATAACGCAAAATTTAAATAAATGGCAATAAGTGAAAGTGAAGAACGGAAGACCTACAAGAATTTACAGAGTTTTAGCGCATGCAACTTGGGGTATTTTGAAGTTGTTGCAGGGATGTGAAAACATAACACAAAACCGAAAAGTTCCTTCTTGGAGCCCGTTCACGAGCCATGTCTTGCAAGAATCGCGAACAGACATTCAGAGCTCTTTACAACTCGTCCTGAAATTAGACGCGAGCCTACAAGAAAGAAAGTTTTTCTAGTATCCTCGTTTTACTCCGCCACATCTTAAACTGACATACGAGCTTTGTATGAAACATGTCCCGTGTGCATAAAAATGAAGTGTAGTGATAACTGCCGGTCAGGCGTTTCAAACACATATTTGAGTCATTATAAATGGTACAGAAAGAAAACGGTTTTACAGGGAGGGCTTTCAGAACCAAACAACGTTAGTGCACTTGGTCATTACTCACGTTTTGCTTCCACTAAACGTCACTAATTGTTTCAAGCCACGTATGGAATACTTCTAAACGATGGGCACTTTCGGCAAGAACTGACTAGGTTTCACACATATAAACCAGAGAAAGCCAACTGGGACTTTCCAACGCTTCCAGAAATCTCATCCACCATCCCGATAAGTGTGATAAAAGTTCTCCAAATTAACAATCAATGAAGCTTTTTAGTCGTTCATTAGCCAGAGCGAGAGCAAGTACAGGCTCGTCACAGTCGTAAGTGAGTGTCTGGTATCTTGGAGACGCAAGACACATCCAGCACCGAGTGACTTCGGTCGCTGATGATCCATCTTCATTGGTAGTGTCTGTGCTTTCGAAGACCGGAATGGTATCATCAATAAAAAATGGAATAAAAGCATTTGTTTACCAATTATTATCAATCCCATGGCCCTGGCTCCAGGCAAGAGCTTTACTTATTCATCTTCAAAACCAGATAACGACCTTTCAAGTATGTCACCAACGTCGAAGTTGAATAGACACGGTGAAATCGAGCATCCTTGTCGAACTCTGCGAGGTAAGTTGAAAGAAGGCGAGAGCTTACCGTACGTCTCAATTCCTTTTGAAGCCTATCAACAATGTACCTCATGTGCCTGAGGGAATCCTCAGTTAAATTGAATACGTGGGTAGCCAGTTGAATATCACTAGGGTATAATGTGGGTATAACGTCTCCTAAAGCAATAGATATTTTGTGGCGGAAGACGGGTCGGATACTTATAAGATCAAAGCCGCAACTGTAACAAAGGTATCGTACTTGTGTGGCGCCCGAGCCGTGAACTTCTCCAGTGAGATTTAATTCGACAAAGTCGGCCAGCGTCTGTGATGAAGGAAGACTGAAATTAAGACGAAATAGATGAAAAACACCAATCAGTGCACAGATGTACAATAGTTGCATAAGGTTCATCTTGGTTGATTAGGAAAATTTATAATAATGCCATAGTAATGATAATACTTTATTGCATGTGAGTAATGCAGGATTTGATTAAATTTAATAGAACAAATTCGTCGTGTATAGAGTAAATGAAGCGTAAACTGAAAAGCTAGGAAGCAATGCACAACTGATTCGACCTGGTTGGGTCTCATCAGCAGTGCGAATCCATCGAACCAAGTGGGGATCGAGCCCGGGATCTCACAGGCAGAACACAACTATGCTACTTAGCCACTGGGCGGCTGATCAGACCGTTGACCATTTTCCACTTACAGGAATTCGTTCTGTGAAATAATACTTTATTATATTTCATTTTTCGGATAATGTACACTCAAGTTTCCAGGAGCCTGTGGCGAGCAAAAGACTTCTTGGGGTCGGAAAGTAACAATAGAGCTGGACGACGGTGGGATTCAAACACAATCAGGAGAATGATGTGACGATGACCTACACTGTTTGATCGTTACGGCCCTAATTTCTCAGTCAATTCCTGTGAACAAGTGAGAAAAAAGCTGATCTATGGGATTTACGAGAACCAACTTTAATCACCTTATCAATCCATATACTCGCTAAGGTAAAAAAATTAAATACCACAAAGGACCCGATGATGGTTCTATCAGCACACAACATAGAAATGCAGAACTAAGAATGTAGACGGTCAGTTTGATCCTAAGAGGCAACTTCAATTTTCCGGATACTTGTCCTACTGACTGAGCCATCGACAGCGATGATTCAATCAAATCCATTACTGGATCCTTTCCTACTCTGGAACAAACGTTGTCCATAATACGTTACAATAAATGATTCTGATGTTGCTCATAGAACAGTCGTGTATGCTTAGTTCTGTCCGCCTTTTGGTGCCTCTCCTCAAAACGATTCAACGGATTCAACCAGATAAAGCAAGTTAAGGGTAACAGCATTAACTGTATGACTACAGAAACCAAAATTCGAAGACCTAGCGAATAGCAGAAATCACACAGAGTCAAAGCAGGACAGGTGTACTGTTCCGTAAAATCTCTGCTATCTATCACCTCAGTTTACACGCATCACTTTGAGGGACTTCCGTTTATTTTGCCAAGTGTACCTTGACTGAACAAAACAAACGAAACTGGTCTGAGTGAATATCGTGTGACTTTGGATAGTGAATCATCCAAACTCGGAAGTGAACATATGGCAGTTGCGCAGCTAGACAGAGAATGAATTATGTGACGCCCTTGTGAGTCATCTGAGTAGAGAAACTGGTCCATGAAGTGGTGAATGTTCTTACACATTCTCACTGATCTCAAGTTCATTCGATATTTGCATATCGATCAACATCTGCACTGTTTGCGAATCTGACGGTAGTGCTAATGTGGAAGCATCCTATACCAACTCGGCCTGGTCGGCGGTGAAATATATGTAGATGAATGTGATACAAGGAGAAAAATAATCACAAAAAATAAGATGAGTTTTAAATCTTAAAACATAAACTACCATAAGCTACGTTATTCCAGCACATACGCATATCATGAATGCCGAGATAAAGGGAAACTCACCAAGACGAGC